CGCCGGCAGCAGCGGGCCGCGCCGCGCCGACCCGCTGTCGCTGCTGCCGCAGTCGCCGCGTGAGGGCGCCGGGGCCGGCGCCGCCGCGGCGGCCTCGCCGCCGGGGCCGTACGGCGCGGCGGCGAAGGCGGCTGCGGCCTGTGCAGTTGTGAGGGGCGGCGTGATGCCGTACAGGCCCAGGGGGGGCTGGTCCCGGGCTTGTTTCGTGTCCTGCGCATCCAGTAGCAGCAACCCGGGGTCATCATCGCCCTCCCCTATGATCTCTGCGATCGAATATACCACACTCGACTGCCGGTGGGCGCGCTGCATCGCCGCCGCGCCGCCGCCCGTCAGGGCGCGGGATCGGCGCCGTCCCGCCGGCTGCAGCTGCTGAGGGGGCGCCTTCGCGCCAGCTGTGCACAAGGGACTGGGAACTTCGGCGGGGGCTGCTGGCATGGGGCAACCGCCCTCAGCAGAACGGCGCCTCCACCTCGCCCGCCCCGCTTGCGCCCCAGCTGCGAGGACAGGTGTGAGCCGCGATTTCCGGCGGCGACGGGTTTGGGGGCAGGAAGTGCAGCACGCGTCCGCGCTCGCGACGCGCCCGCATTGCATGAGCTGGTGGTGTGCGCACGCTTGGCTGCCGGCCAACACCAGCACAGCAGCACGGTCCGGGCCGCAGCTGCTCATACATTACACGGTACATGGTTTGAGAAGTAGTTCATGCCTGCTCACCCGGGCCTCCGCTTGCCTTCCTGGTGACCGCGGTGAAGAACGGCCGTGGCTCGCACTTAACTGGCCTAAATGCTGCGAAAACGACCAATCAACACGTATAGCCCACTATCGGGCTATACCACTTTGCTGGCTTCTGCTAGCCTGTGTGCCCGTCTCAACGCGCCTATGCCTCTGGTTACGCTTGGCGACGCGAAGTCTTTTTGATTTTTCATCTATAAGATTAACTGAAACGCGTGCAAGCAAGGTGGATGTGTGCCTGCTCTCAGCCTTTGGCCAATCAATCAATCAAGCGGGCCGGGTGGATTGCCGACCGTCCCACGGCGTTCTGGAGCAAGCACTACTTTTTCCCAGGGGTTGCACGGCCTCGCCCTAGGAACTCCCGGGAAGCTGCCGCTCACACTGAGAACTCCAGGTCAAGAGATTACTACACAACGGGGCGCAATTGTGCCAACAATTCTCCCAATCATGTTTTGTACAGTGGCTTGAACCGAGAACGGCTGACAAGATAGGTCGCGGTCTTGTGGTGACAGTTATCGCAATCCCTCTTTCGCATGTGCGGTTGCGCGCCAATCGCCCGCCGCTCGCCGTTGGCGTGGCAAGACCACGCCGCGAGCCGTTACGCAGCCGCTCTCAGGCCCACAGGCAGTTTCGGTAGCAAGTGTGCTTGCGGCGAGCGCGCGCGGCCCGTCCCCACTGCGGAGCGCTCGCCGTCATCGCGGCTCGGATCGTACACGCCCAGCCTGCCGAACATTGCGAACCGAGGGTGCTGCATGACGCACTGGCTGCCTGGGGGCGGGGGTGTGCACGCCCTTGCCAACACAAGATTCCTGGTGCCAGCATGACTCTGACGCTCTGCTGCTCTGATCACCTCGCCTTCGCGCTCAGTTGACTGTGGTGCAAATACCAGAGGAAAGGTTGCGGGCAGGGATACCCCACTCGCTTTGTGCACTCTGCTGCTTGCCGCACTTGTTCCTTCGGAACCCCGGTGAGACGGTGACGGCCGACTACGACTCCAAGGTAGTTGAGCTGTACTTTGATGACTGCTGCATTGTGTAGGACGCTTTACAACGGTTTGGTGCTGTCTGATGCCATGGGTGTGGATTACGCACCCATGTACAGATGCATGCACCTCAACCCAGCCAGACTGCTGTGCGCACGCGCGCTCGAGTCGGAGTGGGTGACACGGCCAATCGGTGGTGGGTGGGTCGCGCGAAATGCAGCGAGGGGATGTGGTTAAATGTTTGGGACGCGGGTGAGCAGCAGGGGGCGAGGACGCCGCCCGCTCAACAGGCATGCACTGCTGCAGGTTGGTAGGCTGAGCCGGGCGCTCAAGGGCGATCCGCGCAGGCGCTCTGCCTTGGGGGCGCTGCTTGCAGGCAGCCGGGCCGTTTGGTGAGCAATCAAGCATTTTGGTGGGCGCTGCGTCACAGCTTAGATGGGTGCGAAGCTTGCGTGGTCTGTGTGAAAAGGTAAGGGGCTGGTCATGCATAATCAAGCCCGTTTTTTTTGCCGGCACGACATGTGCACGGCGCTGGGTGCCGCGCTTTAAGATGAGCGGGGCCGCATCATTTTTGTTGAGCAGTGACGGAGTATATTTTGTCGGCGTCGCCGCCCGCGTGTGCCGCGGGCGGCGCGGGCGCCTCCATGTATAGGCGCCGCACACGAAGCAACCAAACCGCGCCTCCCCCTGCCCCAGCAGTTCGTCATTAACCCATCAGCCCGGACGTGGCACACCCGCAGCACAGACTTCAAGCGGCCGCGCCCGGCGCCGCTGCGCCCGCCGGCCCCGGCGCCGCCGCCGCGCCGGCGCCGGTTTCGCCGCCAGCCACTTTCCTCGGCAGGAGTGGCTCGTCGTACCG